GTGGATGTTTTCCTTTGTTTAGAACGTTGGTTACAAGTTGTTATGGCTAATGGTCAGGAGAAAAGCTAAACAAAGGATATTAGATTCAGAGTTCTTGTTATTTTTTTTTAAAAAGAGGGCAAAGTGGTGTGAGACAATGGTCTGTATTCTGTCAATTATATTTTAAATAAATGCTGATTGGCCAGTAGCCAGGCAGGAAGTATAGGCAGGACAGCCAGGCAGGAAGTAGAGGCAGGGCAACAAGAACAGGAGAATTCTCGGAAGAGGAAAGATTATTCTGCAGTCCTGACCCAACCACAGAAGAAGCAAGATGTGACTGCCTTGCCAAATAAGGTACCAAGCCAAATTGCTAACATAGGCAAGAATAATGGGCTAATATAAGTTATAAGAGTTAATAAGACACCTGAGCTAATGGGCCAATCAGTGTATAGTTAATGTAGACCTCTGTGTGATTTCTTTGGGACTTAACAACTATGGAAACCTTAACAACAAAATATAAACAGATCACCCAAAGGAAGTTCTTTACTTCCAACCATTATCACCTGCCAGAGTAAAACTAGGCCATCAATAAATTTAAATGGAGGCCTGAGTCTCAGTAGCTCAGGGCTCTCCATTTATTCCAATATGTTGGACATTCAGAGGGACCAAGTTTGCAAACTTTCATAAAATAAAGGCTCTTTGCTTCTACATACAGGACTTGGTCTCCTTGTTGACTTTTCTGGGAACTTCATGGATTTGGACAAAACAGATGCAGGAAGAGTTGATCATCATGGGATGGGTTGATAGGTAGAGGAACAATCCTCGGCACTTGGACCACCACAGCCTGCTCCTAAGGACCCCAGCAGCAACTCCTCAATTGACAAACCTGCTTAGAACATTTTAAAACTCCAGAAATATTAGCAGGATGATAAAGAACAATTTTTTTTGCTGGATGGAAATTAAGAGTTCAGGGGGATCCAGTAATGCACTTAGCCCAGAGTATGGAAAGACTCCAATCATAACTCAAAGGACCAGGCCAGCAGCAACTGACTGGAGCTGGGAGAATTCTGCTCCTGTGATAATATTTTGAGTGGTATCCAAAGGCACAGTGGGTTTATTTGTGCTAAAATTGGTAGATAAGATATAGGGCCACACAAGGCTATCCAATCCCACCAGCATCAGAGACAGAAGATTCTTCACCAGTGTCCATTTGATCTCTTGGCCTTATCCTGTCCTCAGGCTCCTTGGCAGGAAAATCCACAGCACGCACCAGGTGCTCAGGTAGCCATACTGGACTGTCAGCATCCTGTGGGAAATTATAAACAGCCTCTTTCCCACACCAGTACAGGAGCTAGACCACACCAAGTGCCACCTTCTAGATCCTTCCATTTGACATGAGATATCCGGGAAGAAACTGGCTGCCAATGCCAGTCAGCAGTGGTACGAGATTGAGCATCAACAGTCAAAAAATTTAAAATGTATAAAATAAAAGATGAATGGTCTCTGGGTGTGGAACCATTTTCCCCCATTTTTGTCTTACGCAAATAGGCTTTGAGCGTATGATGTTCTTACTCCACTATGGCTTGTCCTTGAGGATTATAAGGTATTCCTGTTTCATGAGAAATAGAGAACTCAGAGCAAAATTTAGCAAAGCCAATGCTGGTGTGGGCTGGCCCGTTGTTAGTTTTTACAGTTTTTGGAACTCCCTTGTAGGCAAAAGCCTGGAGACAGTGACTTTTAACATCCTGTATTTTTCTCCTATATGGGCTGAGGCAAAAATATGTATCCACGTTTATGTGAACATATTGCATATGCCCAAAAGAAGGAATATGGATAATAGCCATTTGCCATAAGTGATTAGGAGCAGGCCTACAAGGATTAACTCCCAAATGGGGAACATTTAAAAGTTCTGTATCCAGAGAACATTTTTTTTAACAATATCAGTGGCCTGCTCTTGAAATATCTTAAAATGAAATCCTAAAGACCCAGCATTGAGATGAAAACGATAATGAGATTTTTCTGCAGCTTCATAAGATTCTTGACTAACTGCACAAATTTGGTAAGTAAGCTGCTCAGCCAATGCATTCTCCTCTCTCAAGGGACCAGGAAGGTCAGTATGAGCCTGCAAATGCCCTACATAAATGGGAACAGATCAGGCCCAAAGCAATGTTTAAATAGACAATAACTGCAGCTGGACTCGAGATACAGAGGCAATGTAAGCTGCAGTTTTTCAAAGGTGCAAGAATTTTGCTTACATATTGACTGTCAGTAAAAAGGTTGAATGGAATATCAACATATTTCTTTAGGGCCATTTGTACAGTGATCAATTCAGCCACCTGAGCAGATTTAGCATCAACAGGATGAATATCAAAATCAGGAGGGGAGGCCACCACAGCTCTCCCAGTGGAAGACCCATCAGTAAACACATTCCGAGCCCCTGCCAGAGGCTGCAAAGAAATAACTTTAGGGAAACATACTGGATGATTTTTGGGAAAGGTGACCAACTTATCAGAAGGATAATAATTATCAAATCTACAGGGATTCGTGCATAAAAACAAGGCCCAATCTTCAGCAAAATTTTGCAGCCATGTTATTTCTGCCTGGGTGTATGGTGTAATAACCTTATCAGATAATATTCCAAAGGTTTTCAAACTAAATTTATACCCTTTTTGTAAAACACGCAACACAGCAGATGGATACGAGATAACAATTTTTGCAGGTGACACGTTTATGTATCCATAGAATGGGTCCTTGCTGCCAAAAAATTCCAGTAGGTCTATGCTGAGAGGGAAAAAAAATTTAAGCCTCCAGTAGGAATTTTTAAACTGGACCAGACCCAATTGAGGTCTAAAAGTACTCTGAAAGCAAATTTCCCCTGGGCTGACAACCAGGCCCCTTTACCAGAAGGGCAATCCCTTTTGAAAGGTCCTGGTTGCCTGCCTTGAAGACAAGTCCTTGATCTAGCTCCACCTAGACTCCCCCTAAGGGCAGAAACAATCACCTGTCCCATCACAAGAGTGCCATCAATGTTGCTGCATAACCGGATATAGTCAGTTCAACTCCCATTTCTATGGAGGCTATAGCTTCATGACAGTATTTGTTAGCATTTTCATAGGCCAATTGCTTTATGACAAGCATAGCTGTGTTCACAACCCCAAAACTGCGACTCCCCAGTTGTAACAGGTGGTCAACAAACTCAGGATAAGGTTCTGAGGGTCCTTGAAGGACCTCAGAAAGCTGTTCCCCTGCTCCTTTGTTAGGTAAAGCATTACTGGCTTTTCTGCAGCTATCTGAGGATAAACAGCAAGGTCATATGTAATCTGTGTCGCTAAGCCCATGTACTTTCCAGCGCCAGTCAACATGCCAAGGTTATGGCGGGGGAATCCCACAGCATCAGCACAATCCTCCTGCATTTCACCTCTCCACTACAGACAATCTCCTCCTGAAAGACAGACTCTACAAAGCTGCCTTTCTTCTTTTTCTAATTTCTTTTTTAGCAGTGCTATCTCCCTTTCTAAAGTTTCTTCTTCTTTTTCTATATTCCTTTTAGTACTTTTTCTTTACCTGCTCCCAATCAAGAATATTAAAGCCCCCTGCTTGTAGAAACCAGGGACTAAACTCTAAAAACTGTCTTAATAATCTCTTGTGCTGTCTCAATTTCAATACCAGTGCCTTGCTACTCTAAAAGAAATACCAATTGGCCAGTCAATTGGCCCATCAATACTGGAACAGAATTACTTGCACTCTCATCAATTTTCAACTCACCCTCATCATCAATTTCTTACCTGCTGGCCAGCCTTCTGAGCGCAATCTGTCAGGGGTCCTCTACTTCCCTATCTTGCCGATGGGCCTCCAACTGTAACACCTGCATTACTCTCTATGGTACAGTTCGTGCACCACTGTACTGTTTGCGAGTTGGACAAGGGCCTGGAGATTAAAAGAACACACAAGAGACATGGGTCATTCATAAAGAGATAATGCCGGATGCCATTTATTCAAGTTTAGGAAATCCCTTATATATCTAACTGCTGCACAGTGGAATTCCCCCCAGGTAGGTGAGAAATTTCCAAGCCCAAAATGGAGTAAACAATGCCCTATAACTAACCACCAGTGGGGCAGAGGGAGCACAGGAATAAACAGGATGTTTAGCCGGAAATTGCAATGGCTGGCCAGAATTAGTCCTCAAGGTGAACCCTGAGAGGGGAGTAGACCTGTGGGCCCTACAGTTTAGAGCACTGTGCTGTTCCTGAGAACCCAAGTTTGATTCCCAGCACCCACAAGATGACTCACAATTATCTGTTACTCCAGTTCTATGGAATCTGAGGCCCTCTTCTGAGCCTGAGCTAATGGGCCAATTAGTTTATAACTTATATAGACCTCTGTGTGATTTTCTTTGGGACTTACTGGCTGTGGGAATTGGGCAGGACAGAAACCCCAACAAGCAGGCCCACATGTTACACCTTTGTTCTGTCCCAGCTGCTTGGCTAGCTTCCACCCAAAATAATCATACAGAAACTGTATTCATTTAAACACTGTCTGGCCCATTAGCTCTAATTTCTCACTGGCCAAGACTTACATCTTAATTTAACCCATTTCTATTAAATCTGTGTATCACCACATGACTGTGGCTTACCAGTAAGATTCTAACCAACATCTGTCTCAGGCAGGAGATCCATGCCATATTTCTCTCTGCCCTTCTTTTCAGCATTTAGTTCTGTCTACTCCGCCTACCTAAGTTCTGCCCTATCAAAAGACCAAGGCAGTTTCTTTATTTAATCAATGAAAGTAACACATAAAAAGAAGGACCTCCTACACCAGCTGTCCTCTCATCTGAGCCACCCAGTGTATGTTCAAAGATTGCCAGGGGTCTAGACAGATGGTTCAGTGGTTAACAGTACTGGCTGCTTCTTCAGAGGAACCAGGCTCAATTCTCAGCACCCATAAGGTGGCTCACAAGTGTATAGAACACCAGTTCCAGGGAATTTGATGCCCTCTTCTGGCTTCCCTGGGCACTGCACTGCACATAGAGCATAGATATACATACAGTCAAAATACCCATACATATAAAAATATAAAACACACTAAAAAAAATTGATGGCCATAGAACTCCTCACTGTCCCAGGGGTTTCAGTTCTGCTCAACCCCCTGTTGAAGCAGCCTATGCCACTTCCTTCTGCCAGTCCTCCTTTTCTCCTGTCTTAATCTGCATCCACCCATCTAGCTGGACCAGATCTTGAACAATGTACCTGATCTTCCATGGTCCCACACCTCCTCTCTGCAGCTAGACTTAATTCTGTAGCTCTACTCAAATCTATGGCCAAGCAGAAGCCTGATTCTCACCTACACCATCATTCCTTTCTGCCCCTCTGCCTGGGCTCATTATCTTGTCAAGGTAGAGATTCTCCCTGTATTCCTATCAGCTGCCAGTTTTTGCTTCTCAAGATCTTTGAAAGTCCTGGAGATTTGTTAAGGCCTCTTAAACTCTTTATAGCCATTTTGTAAGCATCTATGCATATATATATATATTCCTTTTCTTTTACTGTGTAATGTGTATGTATGATCTGAAAGTCAATATTAGTCATTAAGATTGAAATGAGGAGCTGGAAAAAAATTAAAGAAATGAGGAGCTGGGCAATGATGGTGTGTTTCTTTAAACCCAGCACTGGGGAGGCAGTGGAAGCTTGATCTCTGAGTTCAAGGTCAGCCTGCTCTACAGAGCAAGTTCCAGGACAGCCAGGGTTATACAGAGAAACCCTGTCTCAAAAACAAAACAAAGCAAACAAGCAAATAAAACGATTAAAATGAGGTCTGGAGAAATCAGACCGTAAAGCATTTGCCATGAAAGCACAAAGACCTAAATTCAGATCTCCAGCACACGTAAAAAGCCAGGTGTAACGGTGTTCAGGAGATGGAGGCACGGAAATCCCTGGAGCTTGTTGCCATTCAGTCTAGCTGAGTTAGTGAGCTCCAGGTCTAGTGTGAGATCCCATCAAAGAATAAAGTATGTTGAAATATGAGCGGCGGGGCTGCATCCCCAACACCCCAGCCGCTTGGCTAGCTCATGCCCGAAATAACAACACACAAACTGTATTCATTTAACTGCTTGGCCCATGAACTCTAGCCCTTACAGGCTAATTCTCGCACCTGGACTAGCCCATTTCTAATGATGTGTGTAAGCACCCCAAGGTGCGCTTACCGGGAAGATTCTAGCCTAAGTCCATCATGGGTTGCATCTGCCCGGGAGAGCTGAGCATGGCGTCTCTGCTCCAGAGCAGAGCTGTGCTCTCTCCGGGAGCAGAGCAGAGTCTGACCTCACTTCCTCTTCCGCCCAGCATCCTATCCTGTTTATTCCACCCACCTATCTTATAACCTATCAGGGCCAGCAGTTTCTTTATTGCTCAGCCAATGAAATCAACAGATTGATATATGACACTCCCACATCAAAAGTAGGAATGGGGTAGAGGTTAAGAGCACTTGTTGCTCTTGTAGAGGACCTGGGTTTGGTTTTTAACACCATCCATAACTCCTGTTCCAGGAGACCTGACACCCTCTTCTGGCCTCTGTGAGCACCAGGCATGTACATGGTTCGCAGATGAATGTAGCTAAACGTCCATACACATAAAACAATAAGAATTAAAATGCCATTTTTTTTAACTTTTTCAAAGGTTAAATAGCTTGTTGCCATTGCTCTTGGGCTCACACCAGAAGTAGATGGGAAGACTCTATGGCTGAAGACAGAACGTACTTTTCTTTAGGACATTAGAGAAGTCAGTCTGGAACTGGCCTGAGAACTTCCTCCTTGCTTTCTGGTTTCCACAGGGCTGGAAGATGCTGTGCAGGCTACTGGGGTGGGGGGAGTCACCAATGCATATCCAGCAGTGACCCCTGAAAACTGTATCAACCCACTAGGCAAGATGTGCCCACTGGTACAATAGTGGCATGCAGGTTACAGGGTAACCAATTGCTTCTGGATTGAATTTGAAGCCTACCTTACAGAAGAGAATCCAGACCTGATACTGTCAACCTGATTAAAAGTCCATGGCTTGGATGGTTATGAGCCTTAAAGTCTAACCTGCTAGTGTTGTTTTGCTAAATGATTAGATCATCAAACTGCTTTCTAAATATTACACCTAGCTTAGTATTGCCCTCAGCCTTGGCCAGAGAGGTTGTTTTTGCCAGAGGGCAGCAGCTAATGCAAGGATTCACAACTAGTCAAAGGGCTGAGAATAATTAACTGTTGAGTGTTTAGCCCCAATTGGAACATTTATATCAAGCCATCCCACAATCCTGAGGGTCAGGGGACATTGTGGAATGAAAGACTGTAGAAGCCAGAGAGTATGGAGGATTGCCATGGGTGCTGCTTTTGGCTCAGTACATAGTTGTTGTGCCAACAAACTCACTGATGCTGTGGTTACCTGCATAAAACCTGGATGTCAGAAGCCAACATCACGGCAGGAGGAGGATACAGTGGGGAATGCTGGGGGAGAGTGGGAGGGAGAAACCAGGGTGGATAGGATAAGATACATTGTATACATGCATGAAATTATCAAAGAATAAAGAAAATATATTTTGAAGAAAGAAAAAGGTGGAGAGAAAAGTGTTGACTGCTCTTTCCGTCCTGCCCGGTTCCCACAGTCATTAAGTCCCAAAGAAATCACAGAGAGGTCTACTTTAATTATAAACTGATTGGCCTAGTAGCTCAGGCTTTTTATTAACTCTTATAACTTATATTAGCCCATAATTCTTGTCTGTGTTAGCCACATGGCTTGGTACCTTTTTTGGAGGGGCAGTCACATCTTGCTTCCTCTGTGTCTGGATGACGACTGCAGACTTAAACTTCCCTCTTCCCAGAATTCTCATTGCCCCACCTCTACTTCCTGCCTGGCTACTGTCCAATCAGCGTTTATTTAAAATACAAGTGACAGGGTAGAGACCATTGTCCCAGAGCAGAAAAGAACATGCCTGACGTTGACCTTTGGCTCCCACACTCCCATGTGTGCATACATGTTCACATATATGAACACATACACACCACACAAACACAAAAGTCTGGAATACAAGAATCTGTGTTTTCTTTAACTTGTTAAAGAGAGGGAGACTTGGCAAATTGCTGCCAATGAAATTGATGCATCATGTGAGTTTATTTTTTTTTTAATAAACTGTGATTCCATCCATTCTGATTGTAAAAAGGCACAAATGTGTTTGCCTGTTTTCTGACACAGCACACGAATAGCGGTAGCTCACATCTGCAATGCTAGCACCGTGGAGATTGAGGGAAGCTGTGAAATTGAGGCTAGTTTGGGCTATAGAGTGAGTAAGGTCAGCAATGAATTCACAGGACTCAAAAACAAAGCACAGGCAGCAACAATAACAAATCAAGGGCTAGAACAATGAATGGCTCAGCAGCACTGGCTGCTCTTCCAGAAGACCTGGGTTCGACTCCAGCACCTGAGTGGTGGTTCTCAACCATCTGTGACTCCAGTTCCAGAAGATCTGTTCTCTTCTGGCCTCCTCTGACACCAAGCACCCATGTGGTACACAGATAATGCATGCAGGCAAAATACCAATGCACTAAAATAATAAAAAATAAAAAGCTGGGCTGTGGTGGTACACGCCTTTAATCCCGGCACTCAGGAGCCAAAGGCAGGCAGATCTCTGTGAGTTTGAGGATAGCCTGGTCTACACAGTGAGTTCCAGGACAGCCAGGGCAACACAGAGGAGCCTGAACTGGACATTTTCTGTAACCAGGCAAGGCTTCCAGTGGTGGAAATGGCACAAAAACTCAGCCACAAACCCTTTGCTCTATAGCCTGTCCTGCCTGCATGATGTGCTAAGACAATGGTGGTTCAGAGCTTGTGAGAGTGGTTGAAAACTGGATGGCCCAGAGACCTGGGGTAGAACCAAACATGACTAGCCAAAAATAATAA